ACGAACCCATGTCCCCTGCATCGGCAGGTGGACTCTCAACTACTGTGCCACCAGGGAAGCCCTTGTTACTGTCTTTTTGATAATAGCCATTCTGACAGGTGTGAGGTGATATCTCATTGTGGTTTTCATTTGCATTTCCTTGATGGTTAGTGATATTGAGCATCTTTTCATATTCTTGGCCATCTGTATGTCTTCTTTGGAAAAAAGGCTATTCAGTTCCTCTGCCCATTTTTTAATTGGGTTGTTTGTTTTTTTGATGTTGAGTTTTATGAGTTCTTTGTATAGTTTGGATATTAACCCCCTATAGGATATATCATTTGCAAATATTGTCTCCCATTCAGCAGGTGGCCTTTTCATTTTGTTGATAGTTTCCTTCACTGTGTAAAGGCTTTTTAGTTTGATGTAGTCCCATTTGATTCTTGCTCTTGTTTCTTCTGCGTGAGGAGACATATCCAAGAAAATATTGCTAAGACTGATATCAAAGAGTGTACTGCCTATGTTTTCTTCTAGAAGTTTTATGGTTGCAGGTCTTACATTTAAGTCTTCAATCTATTTTGAGTTTATTTTTTGTATATGGTGTGAGAAAGTAGTCCAGTTTGATTCTTTTGAATGTAGTTGTCCAGTTTTCCCAACACCATTTATTGAAGAGGCTATGTTTTCCCCATTGTTTATTTTTTCCTCCTTTGTTGTAGATTAATTGTCCATATAAATGTGGGTTCATTTCTGGGCTGTCTATTGTATTCCATTGATCTGTGTCTGTTTTTGTGCCAGTACCATACTGTTTTGATTCCTGTAGCTTTCTAGTATAGTTTGAGATCAGGTAGCATGATACTTTATTTTGTTTTCCTTTCTCAAGATTATTTTAGCTAATTGGGATCTTTTGTATTGCCACACAAATTTTAGAATATTTGTTCTGTGAAAAAGGCCATTGGTATTTTGATAGGGATTGCAGTGAATCTGTAGATTGCCTTGGGTAATATGGTCATTTTAACAATATTAATTTTTCCAATCCATGAGTGCAGTATATCTTTCCATCTCTTTGTGTCATCTTCAGTTTCATCAGTGTCTTATAGTTTTCTGAGTACACGTCTTTTATCTCCTTAGGTAGACTTATTCCCAGGTATTTTATTCTTTTTGATGCAACTGTGAATGGGATTGTTTTCTTAACTTCTCTTTCTAATAGCTTGTTGTTAGTGTTTCTGGTATAATTTCTATGTCAGAGTTCTTTAGTTGCAGGCAATAGAAATTGATTCTGAATAACTTAACTTGAGCAAAAATAGAGATTTTTGGAAGGATACTGGAGTTACATGAAACTACATAAAGTGCTCAAAAACACGGTTTCAGGGAGGTCAGGAACTAAGGAAGCTTGGGGCATTTGGGTATCAGAACCTCAGTCTCTATAGTCCCCACTCAGGTTTTAAAATTCAGGCACAGAGAATCTGATTATTCCATTGAGAGATATGGGATATCTTATCAAAACCAAGATCAGTGAAAGAATGCTGGACAAACCAAACAGTAGTTACCAACAGAGGTAAGAAAAAGAGAGGTGTCAGCATCTAAGTGGAGATGTTGAGTAAGCCTTTAGATGAATAAATCTGGATCTGAGAGAAGAGGGCTAGACTGGGATAAACAATTAGGAGTTGTAAGGAATGATTGAAATCATAGGCATTGTAGAGATTGCCTAGGAAGAGAGTGAGTAACCATGTACCCCTCCAGCTCCATTACCTGAGGGCAGGAGTGCTTACCAGAGTAATTTGTAACTAGAGAATTTTTTTTTCTACTTTTTAGAGGACATGCTATTCCTAGTGACTGGGAAAAGAACCCAGGATGTGGGAATATAACACTGTGCTGGGAACACTCTGTCTCATAAGAAGTTGTTATGTGGAGATTTTAATAGAATGTAACTTCTTTCTGTCAGTTATAATAAATGCCAACTTATTTTTCTCTAACATTATTTATATTGCACTTGGTCCTCTGCTAAGAGTTTTATGTGTGTCATCTTATTTAATCCTCACAACAAAATAATGAAGTAGTTATTATTATCACCATATTTTACAGATGGGTTACTGTAGTCTCAGGAGTTTAAGTAACTTTACTCGAAGTCATCTTGCTAGAAAGCAGTGGAAATGGAATTTAAGTAAGGTCTATCTGAGTTCAGACATTTTTACTCTCTATCAAATGATACAGCAATGCCAACATTAGCTATAGTTTAGGATTATTGAGCCCTTACTGTGTACCATGTAGTGTACTGAATACTTCATATGCATACTTCATTTAATCCTCATAATAACCTTTTAAGAAAGATTGTGGGGCTTCCCTGGTGGCGCAGTGCTTGAGAGTCCGCCTGCCGATGCAGGAGACGCGGGTTCGTGCCCCGTTTCGGGAAGATCCCACATGCCGCGGAGCGGCTGGGCCCGTGAGCCATGGCCGCTGAGCCTGCGCGTCCGGAGCCTGTGCTCCGCAAATGGGAGAGGCCACAACAGTGAGAGGCCCGCATAACGCAAGGAAAAAAAAAAAAAGAAAAAAAAGAAAGATTGTGATCAACTGTTGTTATAAACCGTTGTTATCCCTATTTAATAGTTGAGGAATCTGAGGCTTAGAGATGTTAATTCCGTGGTTGTCACATAGTTAGTAAGTGGTAGAGTCAGGGCCTGAACACATCTGTTTGATTCCAAAGCCTGTGTGTTTCACCAATACACTCTATCAAAAATAACTAATTCTTAGAACAGTGGCTCTCTTCCCTGGCTGCGTATTTGAATCCCCTTGGGAACTTAAGAAAAAGTCGATGCCAAACCTCATCATCAAAGATTCTGATTTAATTAATCAGGAATGCAGACTAGGCACTGTATTATTTTTAAGATTTCATTCATTTATTCAGTTTATTCAATGAACATTTAATGAATGTCTTCTCTATGTCAAACACTTTCTAGGCATTTACTCTCTAGCAAGATGTATTAGTTAGCTATTGCCACAACAATACATAACAATAAGCACAAAATCTCAGTGGCATGAAAAGTTAAGAATTTATTAAGCACTTATTCTCACCGATCTGGGAGGCCAGCTGGGACTCAGCTGATTAGGCAGGGTTCTGTTGGGCAACTCTGATTCGGGCTGGGGTGACACTATTTTTCTTGCTGCAGGACTGTGAGTAAACTGGGGTGGCTCTACTGCATGTATTTCTCATCCTTGGATGAGTGGACTACCATGGCTCATCTCATGCCAGTGGCAGAATCACAAGAGGGAGCATGTACAGCGGTGCAAGCACATATCAGGCCCCTACTTGAGTCACATCTGTGTACACTCCATTACCCAGAGCAAGTTTCAAAGCTGAGCTCAAAGATAAGAGGTGGAAAAAAAAAAAAGATAAGAGGTGGGAAAATAAGTTCCACTTCTTTGGTGTGGACCTGCCAAGTTCATGGCAAGGGCTGAGAATTGGGGCCAATAATTCAATTTAAGGGGAAATACTGAAAGTGAGTAATAAACCTAACTCATAAGAAAATAATCAAGTGTGTTAGAAATTGATAAGTAATATTGCAACAAAGAAAACAAATTCTGGAAGGTGGTGTGAAGGTAATTCTAATGTGCAACTGGGACTTAGGACCACTGATCTTACAATGTTCAACCTGGAAAGAAACCTGGGCTAACATTCTCTCCACCATTTTGAAAATAATAAAACAGATTCAGAAAGTAGAAGAATCTTACTCAAGGTCCATAGGTAGATAGTTATAGAAATGGAACTAGGACTTGGATCTCCTGGCTCTCTAGACTCTTTCTCTTATACCACAGTATTCTAATCTGTGGTCTTAGCATTCTCCCTTTACCAGTGGTACCAAATTGACTGTGTTGTAGAAGGACACAGTCATTCTTTCTTATCTTGGCCACAAACATTAGAGGTATACTGCCTAAATCCTATCCTTCCCTTAATAACGCATTTTAGAGCTCAATTTGACATTTCCCGTATTTGTACTCTTCAAAAGTCTGTGGACATTCTATACTCTCTTTAGTTTTTTTTTTTTTTCTCTTCAAGCTGAAGACTGTTGATTTTGGTCTATCTTCCTGTGATCTCCTAGTCCCACGCTAGCTCTCTACTTGATTACTAGGCCTTCTCTCTTTCCCCGCTCTGTGATGCTTTGAGTAGTCTTTCTTGAGTTACTTTTTTACTCTGGGCTTCCACCAGGCCTTAAAGTCATCATTTCTGTTTTGGGTTACAGTCTTCTTGATTTGCCAGGATGAACAGTCAAAAGAAACGAAAAGATATGGAACCTGCTTGCACCTGGAGCTTATTGTCTGAACAGAAAGGTGAGTGACTGAAGGAGGTAAAAAAGAGTGTAATCTAGGTAATCTTGTTCATTCTCTTTCCCCTACTTCTCCTCATGGACTGTGGGATTTTTCTGAATCTTTAAAATTGTGTTGTATGTGTATAGGTATATGTATATTAAGGTATTACATGGATACAGAATTTACCCATTAATAATCTCTCCACAATTTTTGTGAAGAGGCATCTGGTGTTTATAATGTTTTCCATAGTCCCCAAAGCATCTATAATCATAAAAGACTCTTAAGTCTCTTCCTTTACTGTAACCACAGATTTTCACAGGAAACAGCACAAAAGAGTAAAGAGTGAAGATTTCTGGAGTCCTTCCCCATGTGGCTGATTCCTGAACTCCAAGGAATGTTTAGTTATGGGGAATAGAAACTGGTTATCTTCAACAGACCACTCACTTGCTGCCCATTTCTGTGGCATTCTAATATCTGTCTCTCCATACTCTGCTTCCTCCCATCCACCTAGTCACAGCTCCCAACTATATCTCACTCTTGCCTATAAAGGTGTGCAAGTACTAAAAACCTATAGGAATGTGAAGGGGTGTGTGTGTGTGTGTGTGTGTGTGTGTGTGCGCGCGCATTTGAATGTAGGTCATTGTATATTTCTGTCGAACTAACATCAACAATGTCTTATTCTTTCTCATTAACAAGTTAGGCTCAACAGAAGCTCCAACAGAAGCAATAAGCTAATGTTCAAAGGAAAAAAAATACCAGAAACAGTCACTTCAAATAATGAATGCCCCTTTAAATTCATGCCTAAAATTTTCCTTATTTATCATATAAATATAAATGTTTACACCCTAAATATATTTGTGCGGGAATTTCTTAGGTTTACTTTATGTTGGACATTAGCTATGAAATACCTTTTTGGTAAGTTAGAATAGATGTGAGGTGGCTTGCTTTCTTTGTTTTATTTCTGTTTGGGGAACAGCATGAATGGCTTTAACAGTGTGACTAAATTTCTGTGTATTTCATGTTTTGGTACAAAGGTGTATTTGCGATACTCTTAACCCCAGCTCTTCCTCCCACAGCTGCTTCAAGTTCTCTGGCTTCATTTTCATGGAAGGAGCTTACAGGTAGATGTCTTTTCTGATTTACTCTTTTTCTGTTTTGGGAATAGTGTCTCCCATAAACCCCACTCAACCCCACTCCTCTCCCATTTTTTCCCCCATATTCACTGAGCAACAATCATTGGTTTTTTTGGTAATATTCATGAAGTCCCAAACTGTCATAACAAATAGGACTTTTATATCATTTAGAATAGATATTCAAATACTAGGAGGACCTCTGATGATGGTAGTCAAGCACCAGATATACAGGACTTTATGGATAGAATAGACCAGTCTGCTTCTGGAATGATCTAGGTTGAGGTCAACAAATTACAGCTAGTGAGCCAAATCCAGCCAGCTGCCTGTTTTTGTAAATAAACTTTTACTGGAACCACCCATGCCCATTCATTTACATATTGTCTAGGGCTGCTTTCACGCTAATATGGCAGAGTAAAGGTATACCTTGTTTTATTGCGCTTCATTTTATTGTACTTCACAGATATTATGGTTCTTTACAAATTGAAGATTTGTGGCAATCCTGTGTTGCCAGATGATGATTAGCATTTTTTTGCAATAAAGTACTTTTTAATTAAGGTGTGTACATTGTTTTTTAGATATAATGCTATTGCACACCTAATAGACTACAGTACAGTTAGTGTAACTTTTATATGCACTAGGAAACCAAAAAGTTTGTGTGACTTGCTTTATTGCAATATTCGCTTTATTGCAGTGGTCTGGAACTAAACCCACAATATCTCCAAGGCATGCCTGTAATTGCAGCAGAGACCTAAAAGCCTAATCTATTTATGGAACTTTACAGAAAAAGTTTGCAAACACTTATCTAGATCAGCATTCCCCAACCTGAATTCTACAGAATACTATTCTCCAGGAATTAATAATTTTGCTTTTAATAAAGGGTTCTGTAGTCATTTAAGTCCAGAAAATACTGGATTAAACAAAATTAAACAGTCTGTTTTTTTTTTAACTGTTGATTCGCTCAGAGCCTTTCATATGCTAATATGTATTGAGAAACTCTAAAATGGGATAGAAGGTGCATTCCCCTTACCTTATTTGACCACTGGACACCTTTTTCACAGCTCTCCTATTAATATCTTGCAAAAATGTTACACAAGAAACTTATTTGGAAAATACTAGCTTAGATATTCACTTAACAGAAGTTTGAACTTGATAACTGACTCCTTGGATTATTTTTTCTAGTTGCAGAAAGTGAAAAACTATGTAATATAGTATTTAAGCATATAGGCCATGGCTTCAGACAAACCTGAGTCTTAATTGAAGTCTCTGCCATTTACTAGCTGTTGAACCTTGGACAAGTTACCCAATGCTATAAGCAGGACTGGCTACATATTTTTGGGGTATGATGCAAAATGAAAAGACAGGATTCCTTGTTCAAAAATTATTAAGAATTTCAAGATAGGAGAGCAGCAGAGCATTACACCAAGTATGGATCCTCTGAGCATGAGGCCTAAGCACAGATTGCACACCCATGAACGTATAACCCTGGTTATAAGTTTTCAGTTTCCTCAACTATAAAATCTGGATAATACCTACTTCATGGGATTATTATGAGGATTAAATTTTTAAAAATGTATGTAAAGGGCCTAGTACAGTATCTGACACAGAATAGCCATAATAAATGGCTTGTTTTTAATTCAAAAGCAAGCATTTATAGCCATTTTCAATAAATATTGAGTGTCTACCATGTTCCAGGCACCAGCTAGGTACTTAGGGTACTATGATGAAAAAGACAGACAAGGTCTCTGTTTTCATGTAGATTAGTGGGAAAGACAGATAATGAAAAAAATAAACAAGACAATTGTAAATTGTGCTAAGTGCTATCAAGGGAAAACAGGGTCCTGGGAGAGGGTATAGTAGAGAGGATCTGCCTTAAACTGGGTGGTCAGGGAAGTCTTCTTCTAGGAAGTAATGTTTAAGGTCTGAAGGATGAGAAGGGGATCTCCATGGGAAGAGCAGGAAGAAGTGTGTTCCAGGCAGAGAGAATAGCTGGTGGAAAGGCCTGGAAGTGGGAAAGAACATGGCATTTGTGAGGAACTGAAAGTAAGCCAGTGTGGCTTTAGTATAGGGACTGAGAAGGAGAGTGATATAAAAGGCTGGGGAGTGAAGGTAGGTAGGGCCCAGATCGTAGCAGACCTTGTAGGATGAGGTAAGGATTTTGGATTTGATATCAAGTGCAATGAAAAGCTCTTGAAAAGTTTTGGGCCATGGCAGTGACGTGATGTAATTGATATTTTTAGAAGATCACGTTGGCTGCTTGTGTGGAGAGGAGCCATAGATGGCAAGAGTACAGATGAGTAGGAGGCTGTTTCAGCAGTCCAGGAAAGAGTTGATAGTGCCTTGTACGTGGGTGGTATTTGAGGTTGTAGTGGCAAATAAATGGATTGGAGGCTTATTCTGGAGATATAAATGATAGGCCTTGCTAAATGGATGTGGAGGATTCAAGGGAAAAAAAAGAAATAATGAATCCTAACATTTTTCTGAGCCCTGAGGAGGGTTTTTTTGGGGGGTGGCGGGCAGTGGAATAGAAATCAAGAGCTCAGATGCATGAAGTTTGAGGAGGCTTTGAAACATCTGAGTAGAGATGGTGGTGATGGTAGTATTAGTTATAGTTGTTGTTTGTATTGTTGTCTACGATTCTGTGATTACTGACTCTTGGTGTCACCCCATTAGATTACAGGAAAGTATTTAGAAAACATCTAAAAGAAAAATACCTGAAAAAAGGAGTTGACAAATGTTATCACCATGGCAAGCATATAGAGTCACGACTGCTTGTTGTAAAAGAACACTGTATATCAGAAAAGCCACCATGCGGAATTCCTCAACAAAATAATTTTATTGAGATGGAACATATATTTGATCCTGATGAAGAGGGCTCCAGCTTATCCCAAACTGTGGTGCTTCAGGGATGTGCTGGGATTGGGAAAACAGCTGTGGTGCATAAGTTCATGTTTGACTGGGCAGCAGGAA